AGGAGGAGGAGGAGGAGGAGGAGGAGGAGGAGGAGGAGGAGGAGGAGAAGAAGAAGAAGAAGAAGAAGAAGAAGAAGAAGAAGAAGAAGAAGAAGAAGAAGAAGAAGAAGAAGAAGAAGAAGAAGAAGAAGAAGAAGAAGAAGAAGAAGAAGAAGAAGAGTAGTAGCAGCAGTAGTAATTTGGAGAGGGAAAACATATTTTAAGTCCAGAATAACCACATAACATTTGAAAATGGCTCAGATAGACACCTGTCTGGTTCACTGGAGTATAAGGAGGGGGAGAAGGAACAGGCACAATCTGACTCACAAGGTTCTGTTATTACAGCCGATTACAATGGTACCTTGATACTCAACTACTGAAACTCATAGAATTTGGTATTCAACACATTTTGACGTGAAAATTTTGTCCTGGTGCTCATCGTTTGTTTGGTACTCAACATACAAACTAGAACTTCTTGGTGTTGGCTGCCTTGTGACTCACTACATTATTCCTTACGTGAAAAAATTGTTTGGTACTCATTGTTTTTGGTACTCATCGTGCCTCCCAGAACCAATTTATGACAAGTACTGAGGTACCACTGTACAATAAAAGTAGCTTCAGCGTTTAGGAGTTGATTCCTTGGTTTGATTTACCTACCGGGTCTCACACCTGGTGTGCATAAAAGGAGTCGTGTTGGCAAGCTAAATACACAACATACCTTGGGAATAGTAAGCTTTTCTCCCTTCTCTGAACATTCTTCTGTGTCAGAACAGGTGTAATTTTCATTGAAAGATGCCAAAGTATTGACTCTTGGTCTGTGAATAGCTGGGAAGGTCAACTGTGTGCTGAGCAGGTTGCTCACTGCTCGGAGGGAGGTGCAGACATTCGGTGGTAACGAAGGATCTGCTAGAAGGTCGGTAATGAGTCCGTGAGCTTCTCCCATGACGGCGATATCTACTGTAATACTGGTCCCCGAAGACTGGAAAGAGAGGAGAAAGAAACATCAGCCCTAAATCAGAAAGTAAATAATGCATAACTATGCCAGTGTGATTTGTGCAGTGGGAAGGGAGGGAGGCAGGTTGCCATGATGCCCACTGGCATTGCACTGCTGACCTAGGGCAGCGTAGAAGAAAAAAAACCACCACATAATTCTTGTTCTACGCTTTCTATGGTACCATTAATGGGTACTAACATCAGCCAGAAGATGCTGTTTAAACATTAAATGGGGGAAAAAACAACAACCATAACATAAATGAAGCAATTAGTACTGCTTCTACTTTGACTGCCTATATAATTCAGTTTTATATGTTCATGATGTAAACACCCATGTTCTTAGAAAAATGTATACAGGTAGGCCTTAACTTACAACCACAGATGAGCCCCCAAGCCCCTTGTTGCTAAGTGGGACTTTTGCCACATTTTACGACCTTTCTTGCCACAGCTGTTAAGTGAATCAGTTATTAAATTAGTAATATGGTTGTTAAGTGAATCTGGCTTCCCCGTTGACTTCGTTTTGTCACGATGTCGCAAAAGATGATCACATGACCCTGGGACACTGCAACCGTCATAAATTTGCTGCACGTCCAAATTTTGATCACGTGACCATTGGGGATGCTGAATGGTCGTGGGAAAAACAGTCACAAGTCACTTTTTTTCAGCAGCGTTGTAACTTCAGAGAGTCACTAAACGAATGGCTGTAAATGGAGGTCCACCTGTATGTCCTTCAGTGGCTCTAGCTCCGTGATGGCTAACCTTTTCGTCGTCGCATGCCAAAAGTGCGCAAACGCACACATGCGTGCATGCACCCATAATGCAATGTGCTTGCAACCCTCCCGCCTCCCCTGCGCATGCGACCCCACGCATACTCCACATAACCTCTGCGCATCTGCACGCATCTCCTGCGCATGCACAGCAGATAACTGATGATCAGCTGGCTTGAGGGAGGCACGCGGGCATGCGCAATGGCCCTGATCTGGGGCAACGGCTCGCGTGCCGGCAGAGATGGCTCAGCATGCCACTTCCGGTAAGCGTGCCATAGGTTTGCTCTAGCTCATGGGTGTCAAACTCACTAGGTCAAATTGCCTGTCACGTGACGTTTCGTGATGTTTTTCCCATTCATGGAGCTAGGGTGGGTGTGGCCTGCATGTGACGCATCCAGTCCACGAGCCACAAGTTTGACACCCCTGCCTCTAGCTCATCAATATTTTTTTTTTGTCTCCAGCACCTGGGAAAGGACCATAAGGCTTTAAGAAGCCATTTCCCTAAAGCCTTTTTTGACAGCTGGCAGGAATAGCTAACACCCAAGAAGATAGGCTCAAGATCCAGATGGATCTTGACAGACTAGAACACTGGGCCATATCTAATAAAATGAAATTCAATGTAGAGAAAAGTAAAGTCCTACATTTAGGCAAGAAAAACCAAAAGGACACATATAGACCGGGTGAAACCAGGCTCAATAGCAGTAACTGTGAGAGGGATCTTGGACTCTTAGTGAGCAACCAGCTAAATATGAGCCAGCAGTGTGCAGCAGCCTCCAAAAAAGCTAATGCAATCCTAAGTTGTATTAACAGAGGGATACAGTCAAGATCAAGGGAAGTACTAATACCACTCAATAAAGCCTTAGTAAGACCACACCTAGAGTACTGCATCCAGTTTTGGTCACCACATTATAAAAAAGATGTTGAGAGAGACTAAAAAAAGTACAGAGAAGAGCAACCAGGAAGATTAGGGGACTGGAGACTAAAATATATGAAGAACTGTTACAGGAACTGAGCATAGCTAGTCTAGTGAAGAGAAGGACCAGGGGAGACATGATAGCAATTTTCCAATATTTGAGGGGCTGCCACAGAGAGGAGGGGGTCAAGCTATTCTCCAAAGCACCTGAGGGCAGGACAAGAACCAATGGGTGGAAACTAATCAAGGAGAGAACCAACCTAGAACTAAGGAGTAATTTCCTGACAGAACAATTAACCAGTGGGACAGCTTGCCTCCAGAAGTTGTGGATACTCTAACCCTGGAAGTTTTTAAGAAGAAATTGGACAAGCATTGGTCTGAAATGGTATAGGGTTTTCTGCTTGTGGGAGAGGTTGGACTAGAAGACCTCCAAGGTCCCTTCCAACTCTGATTATCTGTTATCTGTTATCTGACAGTAGTCAAAACATCAATGTTAGCCTGTGTCCTAATTTGCTTTATGTTCAAGGAAAAAGCAATTCAAGGTTGGAAATGCAATTACAGACTTGATTGACGGTTAAAAATATGGGCCATTCCATATTGTTCTAGCAAGCAAGATTGCCAACCCATCTCAAAGCAAAACAAGGAACAAAATGGCGGGTAGGGAGAGGAAAAAACCAAAGATCGTCTACCAGACATCAGAAAGCCAGCAACAAGAGTCCAACAAAATATCACGAGCTGATTTCGGTTTCCAAAGCACATCATGAACTCTCTGGCCAAGACTTAAAATTAAAAGTAAACACATTTCTTCTTTCTCTACTGTTCTTCCTTGCCTTCAATTTCTAATTTCAAAAAAAAAAAAAAAAAAAACACCACTTGAGCAGCACAGATCGGCCGTTTCTGTGGAAAAATGCCAGCCATTTTGGAGTTTGCAGTTCGGCCCCAAAAGGGATTTACCGGGATTGAAAATACGTAATTTTTAAAGTATGTTTTCTTAAAAGAAAGTTGGGTTCCTTTCATGCAAATAATGGGTGTGGACTTGACAGACTTTATAAAAATGACTTTCCCTCTCCCATGAGCGTTCATGTCATTATGGCCAACTGGTATAAGAATTGAGCCAGTGCGGAAACTAACCATGTTTCTATTAAATGATAATTTGTGGTCTTTGCTAAAAGCAGGCTACTTCACGTCACAGCAGAGGTAGCCCTGGAAGAGCCATGTTGAATACTGGTAATCCTTAACTGAGCCCAGCTGAGCCCAAAATTTCCGTTGCTAAGCGAGACAGATTTTAAGTGAGATATGCCACATTTTACCACCTTTTTTGCCTCAGTTGTTAAGTGAATCACTGTAGTTGTTAAGTTGGTGACAAGGTTACTAAGTGAATCTGGCTTCCCCCTTGACTTTGCTTGTTAGATTACAAACAGTGATCACATGACCCCAATGTGCCAGTTACCAAGCATCTGAATTTTTGATCACATGACTGTGCGGATGCCGCAATGATCATAAGTGTGAACAATGGTCATAAGTCACTTTTTTCAAATGGTCACTAAAAGAATGCTTGTAAGTTGAGGATTAACTATATACATTATTAGTGCTATTTGTCCCAAAGATGCTTTTTCAGGAAGCTTCTTCACTGAAGAAGATTCTTGGATGAGAAGCAAAATGTCTTTAAGAAAAAACACTTGAAATGTCTTTAAGAAAAAACACTTTGAAAAACCACTTGACCTGGATGACTGAGAATCTGCATAAACGGGACGGCTATTTCAGCATATTTGAAGTTGTGGCCACTCTACAAGATGGCTACTGAACCAAACCTTGATGGTTCTCCATCTCTTCCAATTCCTGTAGGAGTCTTCTGAATCTGTTCTGACCCAAACCTTGTTCCAAGGAAACAAACACGAAATAGAGGTAACAGCAAAACCTTTTAATGATTCTTTACGAATTCCATTTCTTCACGGTTAAAAGGCTGTTTCAAACTAATTATCTCTGATAAGAACGAGCCTTGCCAAAGTTGCGCAAGGCTGCCAAGAGCACTAGATAAAGTTAGTAAGAAATATTTCAAACACAAAGAGTCTCCAAACACCAACGAAGATATTCCAAACATCCACAAGGCTTGAGTGCAAAAACTTCTTTGCTTCCTGCAAAGAACTCTGGTTTCTCAGCTGGCTTTTATCTCTTGAGGGAGTGGCCATTACCTTGCAGCCTGACTCCCGAGTCGCCTGTGCTGCTGCAGCTGCTTTTTCCTTCGAGCAGCCCTGCATGCATGCGCGCTGGGCACAGGCTCCTCAGGGACCTCTTCATCACTGCTGCCAGCCTCCGCAATCTCCGAAGGCAGCATTTCACTCCCTGATGGTCCTGGCCCCATCCCTGCCTCACATGCAGGCCCCTCATCTGAGTCCTCGCTCTCCGAGACCTCAGCTGTCCACACCTGCTGCCGGCGAACCACAACAGAATCTTAACTTTGCTTTCAATTAATTCTTGTTTCAGATCTTTTTTCTGCTTGTGCTGTGTTGTGGTTATCCCTCTCCTTTGGACTCTCTCCTCCTATGGAACTGTTCACTTTTGATTTCACCCCTGGTTCACTTAAGGCTCCTGATAATCTCAGTATGACCCATGGGGCCCAACATCTGCATCAAATATCCCCATGAAGGCATCTCTTGATCCCTAAACGAAACAACCCTCTGGATAATAACTCCTATTCTTGCAAGATGAAATGTGGCTTTGAAATAGCCAGGAAGAAGCCAACAAGGATCAGGGTCACATAAGTTCCCGTTGTGAAGATATATTGCTCATGTTTATAACCAAGAATCCAGTCAACTAACGTACAATACTAAAATGGTGTCAGATAAAGCTCAACGGGATTAAAGAATGGTTAGAACATTTTTGGCAACGTAATGACTCCAGGCCAATACTCACTTAACTCTGCCCCCTAGAGCTCAGCTTGCTCTTCTCCTACACAACCATAGTTAGAAGAAGCTATGGGTAAGAAGAAGAATAAAATCTGGCCTTTGTCATCAATGCCTTGTTGCAGATATAAGAGAAAATATAGTTCATCAAAACAGCCTCATGAGTTGGCCTATTTCTCCAACTATTGGGATAATTTAGTCTCCAATGTTTTGTTTTGGGCTATTTTGGGACAAAATGGAAAATCTTTTAGTCTCTGACATGTCCCACTTTGAGATGATTAAAAAAACCCAATATCATCAAGAGTTTGGAATTTCCTCTGTGACAGGAAACACAGCTGTTTGGTCCCCTTTATCCCTCAGTATTTGGTAGAGGAGTGGGATGGTGAAGAAAGAAAATAAAACA